AACTTTGCATGTATCACGTTTTGGGGGTAGGGGAGGTAGGGAGTAGCTTGCACAATGCTGTCTACCTGGGTGGGTTCTCAGGAAATCTGTATTGAATGAATTTGTCACCAGATCTTCACTTCTCAGGACAGAAAAGGCTTCTAGAGGCCATGACATCCAACCCTGTTTCATGTTGGATTCTGCATCCTGGCATCCCAGACATTTGGTCACCCCAGAGCCACATCCTAGGAAGGCTTCCTCCATTATGGGGCAATCCTAATTGTTAAAGGAAAGTCCTTCTGAAGACTTGAAGTCTCCCTTCTGGTGGCTTCTGGCCAGTCATCCTAATTGTGCCCTCTGGGGCTTTAGAGAGAGAGAAAGAAAAAAAAAAAAAACCTGGTTCCTCCTCTACAGAGCAGCCTTTTAGACTTTCAAAGGTAATACATCAGTTTGTTTTCTCTCTGACTTGCTGCCATGGGTCCCAGGGTTGAGGTGCTGGGGAAGCACTATCTTAATTTTGAGTAGCAAACAGGTTAGACCTTGATTTGTTATTTTGAAGGCCTTATGTGTGTACATCTCAGTGCTAGCTCCTTGTTCCTCTACTCTGGTCCATTCAGAGGTCTAACCTTTTCTTTCTCTCTTCCTCCCCCTTCCTCTTCCTCCCTCCCATTTTCTCTCTCTCTTCCCCTCTCCATCCCTCTCCCTTTTTCCCCCTCCCCCCCTTCCTGTCTCCTGGGGGAAGATGGAGCTCATCCCACCCCATGGTCTGTTTTGGAGGTAGGGGTAAAAAGTTAGCAATTCTATTCTTATTTCAGAGCCCCCAATACCCCCAGATAACTCTCCTGGGCAAGTGTGTGAGAGCTGGTTTTCGATTGTCTGAAGTATCCAACTGAAGCCAATGAGATAAAACAAGGAATAAAAGAATCCCCCCTTGATAGGAGCCACCTAGTGCCATGACTTGGGCATTCTAGGCATTCTGTGGATAAGATTTTATTCTCACTTATTTTTTATTTTTTTGAGTCACGGTCAGGCTGGGGTGCAGTGTGGCACGATCATGGCTCATTGTAGACTCTGCCTCCTGGGCTCAGGAGTTCTCCTGCCTCAGCCTCCCAAGTGCTGGGACTAAATGTGCATGCCTGGCTAATTTTTTATTTTTTATTTTTTGTAGTCAAAGTCTCACTATATTGCCCAAGCTTATTTTCCTTTATTTTTCTCCCTCTGTCCCTTCCTGGTCTTCTCACCCAGAATCCTTTTTACTTTTCTTTTTATTGTTCTTTCAAGAGTCAGCATGGTATAATAAGGAGAGCCAGACAGTCCTGGGTGTAAGTCGTGGCACTGCCACTTAGAAGCTCTGAAACTTGGGCAAGTAATTTGAGCTGTTTGAGTCACTGTTCTTCCATCTCTATTGAGTTAAGTAAGAAAATGCTTGTAAGGCCCTTGGTCCAGTCCTTGATACGCAGAAGGTATACAAACGCTGGCTTTCTGCTCCCCTTTCTTCTTCCCCCAGCCTTCTTTCGCTACCATGTTTTAGTGATTTCAAGACAAAATACTCTGGTTTCCCTGGGGAAAAGGAGCTGAATGCAGGTTTCATAGAGAAAGCTAGTGTTGGGTTAGTGTTTGGGAACAAACTGTGAGTTTCCTGTGAGCTCCTGGTGAGATCAAAGATGTTGAAAGAGAGTTCTCAAGTAGGAGAGGCTGAGAAGGCTATAAATGGCAGTAAGTAGTCACTGCTACTGTTGGTGTCCCACCCACATGGCAGGGTCTTTACTGCTGCTGCTTGTGGGGAAACAAAACCCAGTCCTGGGCACGTCGCATACAGCAAGCCTGCAACTGAGAGGCTTCCTCACCCACCCCTGTTGGTCCCTAGGATGTCGAACTGTCTCCTTTGGAGTATGTTTTCCCTACACTCCATCTGCCTCTTTCTTTCTCCCACCACTACAATCTCGGTTGGCACCCAAGACTAACTTATTTATGGCCTGATGACTTTTTGATAGTCACACTCACACCCTATTGATAGGCCAAGAAACTTCCTGTATATAATCTTGAATTGTGTGAGTGAGCCACATTTTACAGCAGTTGATCAGAATTAAGAACCAAGAAAACAAGTGCTTAAGCGTGTAACCCTCCCAGTGAGAGGGGGGAAGGAAGACAGAGGAGTTGGAGGTGTCCCACAGGAGAGCCGTCTCTGTCTTTCAGTAGATGTGTCTGTGCTTTCTTTGTGCTGGGGGCTGGGGATACCCAGACAGGATGCTTGCAGACTGGGGACACAGGGACACAAGTAGCCAGAAGTGGTGACAGAGTCCAGAGGAGAAAGACATGGAGGCTGCATAGTGGGCAGAGGCAAGAGGCTGGTGGAGGAAATGACATGCCAGCTAGACTGTGAGAGGCAGGCAGGGCTCAGGAATGACTTCCACCCAACCAGAAACCCTGTGAAGTGGGATCAAAGTTTAACTTCCTCAGACAAAGAAAATAATACATGCTGGACATTCTACATCAGTTGCGGCTGAATATTTTAACCAGGTACTGCCCATTCCTGCCTTGGAACTGGACAAAAGAACACACCGCCATGCTGGGCAACTGTTTTCCCCACATTTTCTTTAAATAGAGTAACAGTTCCCGTCTGTGAAGTGTGTCAAACAGTGGAATTGTTCAAAGAATTCCGTGTCTCATTTCTGTCTTTCTCTGACAAGTCTCCCTGTCCTCTGTAGCCACTGAGCTAGAGACATTTTCAGCCACATGGGTCACAATTCGTGGGCCATGGCTGGGCAGGGCCTCATCATCCTGCTGCTCGATTCTCTTACAGTCCAAGAGGGCCTGAGGGCCCCAGCCCCCACCCTGCCAGACACTCTCTGTTCCTGGAGCTCTCACTTGGGTGTTTATTTTCACACTGCTCACACAGGGTCACACTAGCATGCCTGTTTTCACACACTCTCCCACTGTGGAAAGCCCTGTCTGACTTTCTAGGTTGTGGATTCTGTCCTCTCCACCCAACTGAGTGTTAAATAGTTTCTGAGTGGGATTCTAAGTGCCTGGAAGTTACTATAATTAGCAAAAAAACTGGTGTTTTCATCTCTTGTGGCTTATAGAGAAAGAATCCTCCTGTGAACGAGATCAGCTTCAGCTCTGGCCAGAGTGAGTTGGGAATTGAGCCCCGCAGTAAACAGCTGACATAACAGAAGCGGCAATGATCCCCCATTAAATGTCTTTCAGCCGATAGGCGCTCCCGGGATAATTGACTTTCCAGCAGGAATTACTGGCTCAAACAAAATCACTGGGCATTAGGGCAACCTCCTGCATCCTTTGAAAGTGGCCTGTAGCTCTGTCTGGTTTTGCTGACCCAACAGGCATCATTCATCTTGATTATTCATTGTGCTAGTTGCCACCAGATGACACCAGATTTTTGGTGACTGTAATTATAATGTGAGGTTAGTTTTTGCTTTTTAAAAAAATGTTCCTCCTCCTTGTTTGTTGGTGTCCCTGAGCTGAAGTTGCCATAGGAAGGATCCTCACCATGTCTGCCTTTGAGATGATGGGTTCTCAGTCAGCTAGCATTTACTAAGCACTGCCTCACACAAGCTTTTACCAGATAAGCAGGGAAATGATTTGGTGTCACCTGTTTCATATCAACTGACAGGGTGTCACTTTTTCCTGGTTATATCCACCTTACTGGTGCTGAATTGCTGGTCTCAGAAAGTGAGTCTGCGTTTGGAACTTGGAACTGGACAAAAGAAAACACCACCACATCCACTTTGAGTAGGGGAAGGAAAGTACAGCCCCAGAATATGACTGAATAATGCCTCCTGCTCTCGGGCAAGCTTTATTAAAGGGTTAGGTAGGAGAGAATGGAATTTGACCAGGCTTTTATTGTATTGCCATGGTGTTGAACAAGATCTCTGCGCAATCCAAAGAATGTTCTCCCAAGAAACCTCCGCTCCCCAACTCCACATGTCCTTCCCTCACCACATACGTACGCCAACCTGCTGGGTGTTCTGTGTGCATGTCCCTGTGGTCCTGGGGGAGAAATGGTGTGACAGGCTCGGTGTGTCCAGTTCACCTTTTCCTCTGCTGACCAGCGGGTCAAGGATGAACAGTATAGTTACACTATGAGAGTTCATCTCCCCACTAGCACAGATTTGTATATTTTTTGAAGAGGTGCTTAATTGGTGTGCCAGGCAGTGTACTCTGTCCTGGGGGACAAAGATAAATAAGATAACTTTGCTCTGAAGGATTTTACCATATGGTGGGGGTGACAGATACTTCCAAAGTAACATGTTGAAGTCTGAGCTAGAAACAGGCATGGGTGAAGGGCAGGCTTTCACAGGAGGAGACCTGATTTAGGAGTAAGAGTTGCCTGGCTGAGTGAAGGTAGGAAGCAGTTAAAGAATAGTCACCATGTCTTTCTGCTTAGTTGAATGGTGTTGGTTTAACCTCATCGATTAAATCAGGCTCAGGTTTTCACTGTTTCTCTAATAAAAGTCAACTCTCACCCTAGCAGCACAACCTTTACCTTGGGAACAATCTCAGGCTCTGGTGGCCTCCTGTCACAGTTCTTGTCACTAGGCTTAGGGCTTCTAATGGTGAAGCTTGGTGGAGAGACCACAACTCCACAATCTAGATGCTGCTCCCTTTGGCCCTTGTCCCACGTAGAGTGTTGTGTAGGAAACCAGGCTAGGTATCTTCACATTCTGCAGAGAAGTACATATGTCAGAGCGATGGCTTCTGGAAGATCAGCTGGGGTGAGAATGTTCCCAGCAACTTGGGCCTTTGTGTCCTTCTCTTCCAGAATTGTCAACTGTAAATGACACCCACCCTTCTCCAAGTAGAGATAATTCTACCTGACTTCCTCTTATTTTGGAACCATAATCAAAAGTAAAAAAAAGATGTCGCTGTACAGGTGGCAGAAGTGGTCAGTCTTTTGTACAGTGTTAGCCAGGATAGTGCAGTTGCTGAGGGTCTTCATCTTCCCATACATGATCGCCTTGCCCTCTGTCTCTGTCAACTTTGTGTTTTGTCCCCTTTAGAATGGTGGTTTGGCCTGGAGTGATGACGCGGATGGAGGCCGGGGAAGAGAAATCTCTCGAGATTTTGCTAAGGTCTGTAATTCTTCCTTTGTGATAAAGATGGGGGCAGTTCTGTGGTTGATTGCTGTATCTGATCCCCAAGGAATAAGGACAGAGGTGGCCATTGAGCCACTTGTAGTTATTCAAATTGTTGTAGTATTTTGCGTATAAGACTTCTTACAGCAAGGTGGGGTTTTTCATTGTTTTTTTTTTTTCTTGGGATCGGGATTGCAGCTATATGAACTGGACGGTGATCCTGAAAGAAAAGAGTTCCTGGATGACCTCTTCGTCTTCATGCAGAAGAGGGGTGAGTGTGCTCATTATTTCAATTCAGTGAACACCTGCTTGAGTGCCTACTGTGTGCTGGTCACTGTTAGCCTTCCTCCCCCATCCTAGTCCAGGAGGACAAGAGGTATTCCTTGCTGATTGGTTCTGGATTTAACCAAATAATCAACAGCCAGAATGAAGAAGGCAGAGAGGGCCTTGACAGAAAATGGGTGGAATGATCATCCACATTTGGTCCTGCCTTATTTTCGTCTCTGGAGTCATTTCAGATTCAAATATACTTGTATTTTAGCCATGGAGCTTCCCTGAGCTTCACTTAAAGGAACATGTGGGGTCTCCTGTTGGTCTCTTGTCTTACAGAGACTGAGAAAGGTAAGTGAAAGGAGAGAAGCCTGTTAGGATTTTGAGGGAGAGTTTGAAATAATCCTTGGAAAGGCAATGCCAACTCTTTCCTTGTATCCATTGGCTTTTGATTTTTGTATCCCCTAGCTTGGGTGGAACATTCCTGCAGTTGAACTGTAGGCAGGGGTCATGGGTATCTGCTTTATGATGTGCCCTCTCAGTTCTCTGTCCTCCTCTCCTCGCTTCTCCTCCAACCCCAGTAGGTATCTCCACTGGGGACTGTGCTGTGATTGAGTCTTGAGCCCAGTGACTCAATTTCCTGGCTTTATGTCCTGTCACAGCAATGGGCTCACCAGCCTGGGCACCCTCAGGAAGTATGGCCAGACCCTAGCCTCTAAGAGAAGGTCCTCACAGCCTGTGTGTCTTTATCTCTGTCCCCACCTAGGACAAAGCTGTAGGAGAGTTGTTCCTGTCAGCCTCTTACCAGGATTCTGCAGCCTTGGTGTCTGTGCCAGCAACTTCACTGAGACCTGGGAATGAAATGCTGCTCTTTATCCCAGGCTGAGCTATGATGGCAGCCCCCAGCAGTTACATATTCTGAGTTACTCCTCTTTATCTCCCTCCTTTCTTTTCCCTCCAAAGCCTACTACCTTCTTGGTAGCATGCCTGTTACTGCTGGTTTGCTTAAAAGGCAATTGAAAGTTTTGATTCTTGGTTTCCCCCAATCTCCAAGCCCATCAAAGCAGTCTAAGCAGCCCTAATTAGTTTACTCCTTCAACTGTTATCTGGAGCTGCATGTGTCAGTAAAAAACAAGAATATAATCCTGAAAGATAATGTGACGGGCAGCCATGAAACTCCCTGGTTGCCCTGAGAGAGAGAAATCCACTTAATACTTTGGTCTCCCTTCCAATTACCTTTTAATTATTTACAAGCTCTACAAGCCCAGCTGGTGCAAACCCAGGAGCAGATCTCGTCTCAGAGGGGCTGTCATAGCAATATAGATTGTAATCAGCAGTGGATCGCCACTGCGCTCTTTTCTGCTTTATTGTTTTTCTCCCTTCCCAGAAGGATTTTTAAAAGAAAATGGAAGTTATAGCAGCCAAACTGAGAGTGAAGATCGGTAATTGTTTGTTTACTACTGTATGTCCCCACTAGCCTAGGAGTTCCTTGAGGACAGCCACGTTGTCATTCCTTTGTGTCCCCAGTACTATTGGCGCCAGGCAAGAAGGTGCATAGGACATGTTTGCTGTACGAACAGTCTTGCTAGTTTTCCTAACTCGGCCAGCCACGCACAGGGCAGCCAAGCTGCCTTGAGATTTTGGGTGCACCTGCTGCCTTCAGCCAGCTGCCCGTAACTGAGTCAGCAGTGGGGACTATCTTGGCTGCACAGCCTGCTCCTCTGCAGCAGCTGGACTGCCAGACTGCTGTCTAGTGTGCTTCTCAGTGAACCCAAAGCAGGAGTAAGTGACTCCCTTGGATAGTGTCAATTCATGCTTATTCAGGTCCTGAGTAAGCCTTTGTCCTGTCTTCAGCACTTATGTCAGGTATTTTACTATTTGCTGGTATCGCCAATAGAAGGGAAACTGTTCCAGCTGCTGCCTGTTACTCTAATACAGGGTTTCTCAGGCTCAGCACTGTTGACTTTTGGGATGAGACAGTCCTGTGTTGTGGTCCTGTGTACTGTAGAATGTGTAGCAATATCCATGACCTCTACTCACTAGATACCAATAGCAGCCCCCCAGTCATGACAGCTAAAATGTCTCTAGACACATCAGTGACCCCTAGAGGATAAAATTGTCCCCTATCGAGACCCTCAGCCATGGAAGGATGGGAAAGAGCATAAAGATCTAAAATTTTTCTTAACTTGCTGGGCTGTTTTTAAAAAAAATCAAAGAGGCCAGGTGCGGTGGCTCATGCCTATAATCCCAGCACTTTGGGAGGTGGGAGAATCACTTGAGCCCAGGAATTTGAGACCAGCCTGAACAACATAGTGAGACTTCATCTCTACAAAAAAAATAAATAAATAACAAAAATTAGCCAGGTGTGGTGGTATGCGCCTGTGGTCTCAGCTACTAGTGGGGCTAAGACAGAAGGATCACTTGAGCCCAGGAGGTCGAGGCTGTGGTGCTTTGTGATCATGCCACTGCACTGCAGCCTGGGCAACAAAATGAGACCCTGATTCAAATACTTAAAAAAAAAAATCTAAAATTTTCTTTGCAGAATAAAACTTATGGAAACCATTTTACCTCCAGTCAGGTACATGAGAGTGGGCCTGTATCATGTGGTATCAGGAGCTCCCCTCCTGTGACTGGTGTGATTGAGAACCAAAGGAGTGGGTGTTGGGACCCCACCCTGGGCTGGAGCATAGAGGAAGCCTCTGAGAGGAGATGTGGCTCCCATGTGTCAGGCAGTCTTGTAGGTGAAGGCAGAAACGCTGTGGCATGTGTGGTCTTGGCACAGTTGGAAGGACCCTTGTTGGTGATCCAGATCCAGGGGCTGTCCTGGGTGAGTCAGTGAGCACCAGACTCTGAAGAGCCGTGTTTGGCCAAGTAAGTCAGCACTTTAGTCTATAGACTTGATCAAATCATTGAAAGCCAAAATGGGCTTTCAGGAAACTTGCTTTGGCAGTGTGTAGTTGGGCTGTGGGGAGAGACTGAGGCAGAAGGACAGTGTGAATTCCCAGGGATCTTCCTGGAAAGCTCTTGTCTGGTAGTCTAAACTAGAGTGGGTGATTCATGGGGGCTGGAGCAGATTGCATTTTTTTTTTTATCAATAGAAAGCAGTATTTATTGAGAGGACAGAAAAGCTTCCACAGTGGGAGGGGACCCGAAGGGGTTACCCAAGATTGCACTTTTAATCATGTCGAGCTCACTGTCTTTGCTCTTCACAGAATGGTGAGACTAGGGGCCCCCTAGTCACTTGTGATGTGTTTGTCAGTCCTGAAATGGAGTGTCTGGGGCACTCGAGGTAGATCTTGTTAGCCGGAACTCAGGAGAAGCCTCATAAACATGGCAGCACATCAGCAACTCAGGCTCCAGGACTCAAGTGAAGGATGAGCGTAGATTTCGCAGGAGCCACTACTGGAAACAGCCTGTATTTGAAAGGTCTGGTGTCGCTCAACTGGGCTGAGTGGGGCGGGCAACTTAGACACAGCAGGCTGCACCTGCAGAGGAAGCAGCAGGGCTCTGGGCAGGGCTCTGAATGAGGCGGCACACAGCAGGCAGCCGAATGACTGCAGCTGCAGGTGATAAAATGCTGTCCAGTGGGAGCCGGCCAGGCTGTAACTGCTGCTTTGTGCTGTGTCTCTCGCTTGTTAACACATTTGGGTGAATTGACTGCAGCAGATGGGCCTTTCAGCCCAGGCACCTTGGTTTCTAGGCCAGGCCAGGGTGACTTTCACCCAGTGACCCCCTCCCCAACCAGCAGAGCAATGTGCCAGGAGAGGAACATGAGGGGAGGGGAGTGGAGTGGATCCAGGCAGTGCCCTGTCAGGTTCCCTGGCTCTGCAGCCTTGGGAAATGGTGCACCCCATGGGGCCTGTGGAACGAACTCTGGGCTGAGAAGTGCAAAGACAGGACTAGCATCTCTCCCTTCTCCAGGAATTTCTTTTTTTCTTCTTTTTTTCTTTTTTCTTTTGAGTTGGAGTCTCACTCTGTTGCCCAAACTGGAGTGCAGTGGTCGCTCCCGTCCACCGCAGCCTCGACCTGCTGGGCTCCGGCGATCCTTCCGCCTCAGCCTTCCAAGTAGCCAGAATTACAGGCATGCGCTACCACGCCTGGCTGATTTTTTGACTTATTGCAGAGATGAGGTCTCGCTGCCCAGGCGGGTCTCGAACCCGCGGGCTCAGGCAATCCACTCACCTTAGCCTCCCAAGGCGCGGGATTACAGGCTGAGCCACTGAGCCCGGCTTCTTTTTTTCTTAAGAGATGAGGTCTTGCTGGGCATGGTGGCTCACATCTGTAATCCCAGCACTTTGAGGGGCAGAGGCAAGAGAATTGCCTGAGCCCATGGGTTTGAGACCAGCCTGGGCAACATGGTGAAACCCCCATCTCTACAGTAAATCAAAAAATTAGCCATGGTGGTGCACGCCTGTAGTTCCAGCTATTCAGAAGACTGATGTGGAAGGATCGCCTGAGCCCAGCAGGTTAAGCCTGCGTTGATGGTGAGTGTGCCACTGTACTCCAGCCTTGGCAACAAAGTGAGACTCTGACTCAAAAAAAAAAAGGGGGAAGTCTTGCTCTGGTGCAGCCTTAAACTCCTAGGATCTAGGGAATCCTCCTCCCTCAGCCTCCTGAGTAGCTAAGATTACAGGTGCATGCCACCATGCTCAGCTAATTTTTTATTTTTTGTAGAAATGAGATCTCACTGTGTTGCCTAGTCTGGTCTTATACTCCTGGCCTCAAGCAGTCTTCCCACCTCAACCTCCCAAAGTGCCAGGATTACAGGCATGAGCCACTGTGCCCTGCCCCCTTCTTCACCTTCTTGAGCAAAGTCTCTCCCCTCCGATGGTCATGGTTTCCTTTTCTATAAAATGAGGAAATTCAGTTAGAGTCAACTTGGAAGTTTCTACTCTCTGTATTTATGTGTCCATGATTATGTCTGTTGAGCCACCTTGGTGATCAAAACAACAGAAGAAAAGCCCCTTTAGCAATGTTCTATCAAAATACTTGTGTGAAACT